GCTATTGGTGTGTATTTCTTTGCCTTCATGGGGGGCTAAGTTATTGTCGCTGTTTAAATTATTAAGATTAATAATTTATTTGTAATTTTATTAATTTATAATTTTTTAAGTAAATAAATTTTATTTTATTAAATAATAAATAATAATTATTTTTTTACCTTTGAAATATAGTAGATATTTTTAATTATTAACTATTTTTAATAATTAAATTAAAATAAAAATTGAACTATTATTAATAACTTTAATAAACTGAATGGTGACCATAACCATTTTCTTTGATGGGACAAAATTGATTATTTTCATGGGAAGAAAAAGCGTGATCCTCATGTTTAAGAGAACAATAATTCACTTTGTTGAGATGAAGACTCTTTTGATTCTCATGTTTCGCTTTGTTTTTCCTTTTTTATATAAAGTTTTTCATGTTTTGTTGATTTGTTCTGTCATGCTTTAGGATGCATCATCGTGGGCCATGTTTTGACTTTGAGCCTTATGAAATTATTACTAATCGGCCCAAAGTCTGAGGCATTAGGCCCAAATTTCAGAATTCAGGACGCAACCAGCCCAACTTCCAATTTCTACAGCCCAAAAAGGGGAAATTTCCTACATCACATAACCAGATGCTACCGGTGATCGCCATGGCAGCAACGAAGAAGCTCTCATCTCTATTCCCTTTGTTCTCTCTCCTCTGCTTCATCTCCATCTTCTTCCTCCTCTCCCTCTCCAGAAGGGCATCCATTTCCTCACCTCCAAAACAATCCCGAGACTTCCAAATTGCCAGCAACGGTAGCTATGGTGTTAATAATGTTGGTTCAGGCTCTGGATGCGACTACTCAGACGGGTCGTGGATCTACGACCCGGATGCCAGATTCGAGAGGTACGATAGCAGCTGCAAGGAGATATTCAAAGGATGGAACTGTGGATTGAACAACAAATCCAACGCTAAAGAGATCGTCAAGTGGCGCTGGATCCCCAGAAACTCTCCTCTCCCACAATTGGATCCGCTTAAGTTTCTGGAGGCCTATAGGGATATTAACATTGGTATTCTCTCACCTGGGCCTTGTTTAGTTTCTGGGAAATTTGGGAAAGCAGGGGGTTTTCTCTAAATTTCAGCAATTGAAGTGACCCAGTTGTTCTTTTTGATGTATCCTGCTATTTGTAGGCCTTACGAATGTTTAGCAGTGCAGGGTTCATTGGCGATTCCTTGAATAGGAATATGTTTGTTTCTTTATTCTGCACTCTGGAACGGGTGTCGAGTGAAGTGAAGAAGTGGCGTCTTGTTGGGGCTGATCGGGGGTTTACGTTTCTTCAGTATAATCTCACCATTGCATATCATCGAACCAATCTTTTGGTACGTTACGGTAGGTAAGCTGATTTTGCTGTTTTTTTCTGCATTATACTTAATGTTAGTGTGATTGCTTAAGTTCTTTGTTCTTAACCTAGAATTGTTGATTTACTAAGGAAACAAAATTCCATCTTTTAGGGGAGTGAAGTATTGTAGTATACATTAGTGAGTTGATCTCATATAAATCAATCTGGTTTTGATTTGATATTATTGCTTTATTCATTTGCTTCATGCTTATTTGATGCAGGTGGTCAGCTAGTGATAATGGTGGAGAAGTGGAAAATCTTGGATTCAAAGAGGGTTATAGAGTTGATATTGATGTTCCAGCAGGCACATGGGCAAGAGCACCAAGCTTCCATGATATTCTAATCTTCAACACAGGACACTGGTAGTCTTATCATCTGTTTAAATATGTTGTTTGCTGTTAATGATCTCCAGGGATATTGACCTGCTTTATTTTTATTGCTATTCAATGATACCAAATGCTATGTGATGTATGGATGTCACTGCTTGGTCAGTTGAAGCCCATAGATCCTGGTGGATGGTCTATGGAGCTTTTCTCCTTTGGTATTGCATGGCATGTTACATTTGGAACTGTGGAAGTGATTTGAGAAGTTTCTTGTGCCTCATGAAAGTATTTAGCTTCTAGCTGCCTGATGGTTCTATGTTGATGTGTGTAATAAATAAATATATTTTCCACCAGTCACATTTGCCCCCCCCACCCTTTTTTTTTTTTTTGATTCTATGCTGTGATATTGTATTCATGCCGTTTGTTAACTAGGATGGTCTTTTTTCTGTTGCCAGTTTAGATTTTCTTACTAAAATTTTCTTTCTGCTTTAATAGGTGGTTTGCTCCTTCAAAATTTGATCCTGTGAAAGTCCCCCATGCTTTTCTTTGAAAACAATCTCCTGGTGATCCCTCCTATACCGCCTGATGTTGGTCTGGTGAAGGCTTTGAAGAACATGGTATGATTATATTTATTCATCTTCACCAAAAAATGCTGCTTTTCTTTTTATTACTTTTGTAAGGTATCAGATGATAAGATTTAAAACATGGTAAAGACTGAAAGTTTTGTGAAATTCTGTATTAGGTGCTAATGAGTTTCTCTGAACATAGACACGTAGAGAACAGAAAATAGACAATTGACCTATAACCTTGGAATATATGTTCAGGTTGGATGGATTGTCTATAATATTGGGAATGAACATGATTTCTGGCTTTAATTTAACTACTTGTGAGTTTCTTTCTCATTTGCTATTTTATTTTCTATGGAAGATACTGTTAGTGGAGAGAAGCTCAAGACCAGGGACAATTAAATTTTTTCGCACGCAATCACCTAGGCATTTTGAAGGAGGTGACTGGAACCATGGTGATTCTTGCCAACGGTTACAACCTATGTTGCCGGAGCAAGTGAGTTTTCTTTCTGATTATTAATTTATTATTGCTTCTTGCATCCTGTCATGCACCACAGCATTATCTTTTTTTATGTAATGTAAATGCTAGTCTATTGTTTCTGTTCTGCTCTGAATTGAGGTTAACATGTTCAGCTCTTCAAAATTGGCTTTCAGGTTGAAGAACTCTTCTCATTAAAGAATAACGGGACAAATGTGGAGGCACGCATGGTGAATCAACACCTATACAAGGCCCTTGAGGAGTCTAATTTCCATGTTTTAGACATCACCCGCATGAGTGAGTTCAGAGCAGATGCCCATCCGGCCACCGCTGGTGGAAAGAAACACGACGATTGCATGCACTGGTGCCTACCAGGAATTAAAGATACTTGGAATGACTTGTTTGTAGCCCATTTGAATGATCCCAAGACTAGAAATTGATACACCACTAATAATATCCTTCATGAAATTGTATTCTCCCACTGTTTTGAAGCCATTTGTCTCAATCTATTAGAAACTGTATTCTACCATCAAAATTTTAGACACTCTGAAATCTACTTATCTAAACCCACTTAGACTCTGGGATACGGTCTAAAATTTTAGACTCGGAATGATATTTCGTCCCCCAAGTCGGTATGTACACCCTGAATTGTTGGTGATGGCATGCACATCCTTTCTGCACCCGTCTTCATCCTCGGAGCATTCAGTTCTGGCAGGAAGTGCAGAATTCCTTTGATATTGAGGTTTAAGCAGCCGAAGACAATCTGCAACAGTTCTGAACAAAGAATTTTACCTACTCCTTCGTGAAATTAAGACTAGAAATTACAATAGATAGGGTGGACCTCTGGCCCAAAAGAAAATAGAAAGAATAGATGGGCTTAAACTAAGAATTTCAAACCCATCAAGAATGGGTTTAGTGACTTAGTCCACTG